GAGAATTACTAGGTTACCAACAAATAATTTTTCTTAGAATCTATAGAGATATTAAGGTTGGTCTTTCCTTTTTTCTTCTGGTTCTTTTGCTAGGATAGCTTTGAACTCTACATCTTTAAGGTATGCTAGCTGCTATTAAATTCTCTTCCAAAACCTATTCCCACTAATTTCTGTTACTATGTCTAAGATCATTTCATCAGTTCTTTTTTTTATACCATATACATATGACTATCATCCAGAAATGTAGAAAAGCAAAGGAACAGGCACACAATACAAGTGAAACACGTGCTGTTTTATACCCTTTTTAAGGGTCTGCATGCATGTCACTGAGAAATAGTTCCACTAACGAAGATTAGATTAAAAAAACGAAAAAACCATTTAACTTCCGACTCGGCATCAATAAAATTTAGTATGCGTACCATTTATTAAACATTTATATATACATATATTTTGAGGCAATAAATGATAATCTGATAATTAACTGGAAAACGGAATAGAATGCATTCCATAAGATACTTAAAATACAAATTTTTGGATAGTCCAAAAAACTTCAAGAAAAAATACTAAGGATACGATAGGCAGAGAGGAGTTGATCATCCTTCAAAACTTTCCCACGGCATATAAGACGCTGTTGTTCTGACACAACTCCAGTGACAGAAGCAATCTGCTCTTTCAGAGCAGGTACAGGCACCTGAAGCATATCAAGAGCAAGCAAATAATATGACGTCAAAACTTGTCCAGCCTCTCGTAGAATTGTATGAAGAAGGTTCAACTTGCAGATTGGAGCGTGAAATTTTAATCAATTTAAGACCCACATATTTATTTCTTAGAAGACAAAAGCATAGTAGATGTGGAAAACTTTGACATTTAGGGCCAAACATGTTGAAATATAATCAGTTTCTTTAAAACAAAATGCATATTGTATAGATAGAGGGTTAAGTAAGGAGGGGAACCATAAAAGCTGGTAAAGAATGTAATCTTATTGGAGTCACTCCAGAAATAAGGTAAAAATTAGTTGGACTGATGATAAAAAGGCGAGTGGCATTACCTGTTTGTCCACTCTCAAAGTGTAAGTCTGAGAATCCAATGTCTTTATTTTTATTTCAATGGTTGTTTCAGAACCTTCAACATCATCAATTTTAGTAAGTTTGTCATTGCTGTTACTTCCCATTATCCTCAGATCACACGAACACCTGCAAAATTAATAAATAAATATTAAAAATAGTGAACAGGGAGCAAACTAAGCTGGAGTAATATAATTCGTGTGTGTGTGTGTGTGTGTGTGTGTGTGTGTGTGTGTGTGTGTGTGTGTACACGAGTGCGTGTCTGTGCGTGTGTTGGGAAAGGGGAGCAGAACAGAAGCCAATGATACCCCACAGGCAAGGGGGTCAAACAACAAACTTCAGCACGACAGGAACATCTAGAACAGAAATTAAGCGCTAAAAGTATAAAATTAAGCTAAAAAAAGCCACTTATAACTCAAACTTCAATCAACTCAGAGACACCCCAGGACAGATCTAGAAGGCATAAAGCCATGAATGCAATATAGACAGGCAGTATCCATTAGAAGTTTGAAAACCATCACACTGAAACAAAGATGTACAGAAGTACACAACCATTTTGTCTAACTAAAGATATCAATAAATCCATTTTTGAATTCATGCACGTAAAACATCAACACTAATATTCAAACCGTACACGAATTTATACAGATACGTAGAATTTTAAGGACCACAAAAATCCAAACTTTTCCACACATATGAAAGACACTATATCACCCGCCTAGGCTGGAAGTTCAGTATTTTTCCTTATCAATAATTTTAGAAAGAAACATTAAAGTATTTATATCATGAACAAGACAAAGATTTGGTAATTGCTACAAATGCCAAAACAAAGAATCACAACACATAAAAAATGAAGTGCCGAAAAAAAAAAACATAGCACACTAAAAAAATAAAAATAATAAACATAATAGGAAGAAAAAGAAAAACAAAAATGGTAAACGAAACTCCATGCAATAAAAGTGAATGCCAGAAACCTATTTAATGAACATGATTGGAGACGCAATCATATTCCTTATATTATTGTCAACCTGGTACACATAATTCAATCTCCATTATTACATGATAGAGGTTTGAGATTCAGTATCTGATCTTGAAAACAATCCCACACATACTGTTCATTACTAACACACATACTGTTCATTACTAACACAAACCACCCACTCACTCCCCCTTAATGACAATAACAATGTTAAGCATTGTCTGGAAATACTCACCCAGGTATTCCTAGAAAAGATACCTAAAGTTAACCACTAATTTATCAATGCTCGCTCTTGTATTTATGACACATGTACAACAACCTTTACCACACGCGCTTGGACTGCACGTACTGCCATCTATAGATAAACTGAAAAAAGCAGAAGCACAAATACTTAAGTCACCTATTAACTATAAAAGAATCTTACAGAATCTAGCAAATGCCAATTACTCGTGTTACTTTCTCCCACGCGGAATGAATTGATGTAGTAATCACTAATGCGATTTCATCTGAGCAGTAAAGGAAACACTTCAATGTGCCTCATAAACTTCTTTTCTCCTAAATATGTTCATGCACATTTAACTAAATTTGTCAAACATATACCATAAGAAGAATTCAAACAAATACAACGTCATTGTCTTCATGGTTTCTCGATGATGCGCTCACCTCCAAATACACAAAAGAGAATATTCGTAATATTGGCTTTCTACTCTCATATACCTGAAAAAGTCTAGCTCTTTCGCATCACACCAGTTAATTCCAAGTCCATTAGCACAGAAAGAAGTAAACCACTCAGCTTCTGGTTGAAATGAAAAATGATATAGCAAGAAAGAAACAAGCATTCAGGACAGACAGACAACCAAGCTAAAATCTTTTTATTGTATACTCAACCCTAAAAGCCATTAGCGACCCATTACCAAGTACCACCAATTACATTGAATATATATATATATATATATATATATATATATATATATGTATCAAACCCATCTCACAAGATCAAGTAACTTTTACATTAATCCTTCAATTCTCACCTTGAAGGATTAGCAGAAAGAAAAACAGTTCAAACTCAAAAATAAATTTTCAAAATTCTCCTTGTCCAATTCTCATTTAAAACGTCCTAAAACCCTACCAGACAATAATAGACAGCTACGAAGCCATAATTCTATAAGCATAAATCATTACCGATCAACAATCCCATGTTATCAATCAACCGAAATGAACAGAACAGAAAAAACTCTCACCCATTTTCTGCTAATAAAATTCAAAATCCATCCTAGAAAAACAAAAACCCAATTGCAAATTGAAAATAACAATGACGAAAACGATGGCTACCTGATATCAGACACGCGCTTTCAAAGATTAACAGAGACGATGAACACGAAGAGGAATCGAGAGGGATGGAGATAGAGAGATGAGAGCTTAAGCGGCAGTAAGAGAGCTATACATATAGCCCAAAACTTAACATATATAACGCCCAATAACCTGTGTGCTCTCGTCTCTCTCTCACTCGCAGCCGCCTCGCTGGGAGCTTAAACCCACCAGCTCTCACTTTGCCGCAACGTGGCAAACGACGGAGGCAGGAGTTACGTATTGTGGCCCTGGACAGCAGCGTTTTTTTCCTTTTTTTAACCTCCCATCGACCTTTTTCGACCGTTGGATCTACAGCCTTCTTTTTACCGTCCCCGCCGCAGTAAAAAAAAAAAGCCAGTCTTCGGACCGGCGGTATATATTGAGAACCAATGGGCGGAGGAGAGGATTACTGCCCGGCCGACCTCCGATGAGGGGCCCCACTTTAAGCAGCGCCGTTACGACTAGACGCCGATACGCGAAGTGGCCTTTGAATTTTTAACGTTTATTATTTTATTTAAAGTTAAAAAGAATTATTTTTACAGCTTCATTTTTTAAATTTTTTTTTTTTAAATTCTAATTATTTTTTTAGACTAATAAAAAATTCTTAAAAATAATATAATCTCACATATTTCAAAATTAATTTAGTATTATTCGCAAACATTTTGAGATAAATTTTAATTTTTTTAACAAAAATAAATAATTTAGATAATTATTTTTTAACATAAATAATAATTTTTAAGATTATAAATTTACGTATATAAATTTTTATGTTTTAAATTATCTAAATTATTTTTAAATATAAAAAGTAATTTACGCAGCCCATGGGTATGATACAAAGGCCCATATGAGAATATAGAATGCTTTGATAAGCCCATTTAATTGGGCCCAATGGGTTTGTCGGATCCGATCGAGCCCGTCAAATTGTGGGCCCCAATTGTTTTGATAATCCCAATCAAGCCCACTAAAAAAGTAGAATTCACGGTATAAAATATATACGTATATATATATATATATATATCAAATTAAAATATTAAATATTTGTTACAATTTAATTTATAATATTTTTTATTATAATTTTATTTACAAAATTTTCTATTTATTTCAAACATTTGGTTTATTTTATTTCTTTTTTAAAAAAAAAAAAAACAGCTGAAATTGTTAAATTATATTTGAATATTTTAAAGTATTTACAACGTTTTTTTATTTGTTTCTGAATAAAAATAAATTTAATTAATTAATTAAAATATTTTTATTGGTTATTAATTAAATTAATTATTAGTTTCTATAAATAGGGAGGAGGAGGAGGGCCCACAGTAGATACGTCACTTCATGGGTGGGGCCCACAGTGTTTTTCGCGGACCACTGCGATCTCCAGATTGACAGTCAGCCTGGCCCACACCAATTTGTTACAATTTTATCAACAACTAAAACACGGTGGGGCCCGCTCCCACTCCAAACCAAACGTCTCCGTTTTATCAGATTTTGCTCCGCACCTACTTCATTTATCACTATCTTTTTTTTTTTATTAAAAAAAATATTTTAGAAAATCTCAAATATCTTTATTTTTAAAAAATGCTATATATTTTTATATTAGGGAGTAAATACATTAATTATATGATGATAAATAAATCGGGTGAAAATCATCATTTTGATGCGCCATTAACCTTTCAATAAAAAGTAAAATATATATATATTACTCGATCAAATATCAAACGTGTAATTTATAACACTGGTTACCCAATAGTAAACAAACCATGTGAAAATCGATATTCTTACGCTTGTAATGTAATAATGTAGTGATAGTGCAGACACGTGGGTCTGCCAAATCATATTATGTATTATGTTTTGATTATAACATAATATTATTGTGACCACTTTGTTGAAAATTATGATATCTTTGTAATTTTTGTATGTAAGTTAATCATTGTCGGCAATTGAAACATTTTAAATATGTTATTTTAAAATATAAAATATTAAATATTTTTACAATTATATATATATTTCTATTTTCTCATTGAAAAGCTATAATTTTAATGCTCAAAATATATATTTTAAATAGTTTTTAAATAATAAAGTATTATTTAATGAGATAAATAAAGATAGAAGATAAAAATGATTAACATAATTAGCTTACTCGTAATGAAATTGATAAAGTAATTAACCAGTAAGTACTTATCATTAAGTAAAAATTAACCTAATAAGAATTATTACTAGTTAAATTTTTTGTGGTAACACGGTTGATTTTGAACATGATGTTTATTAAGTTATGCCAAAAATTGAATCTCATAAACATTTGACCTTACAAGCTATGAACTTACGATTAAGATTTACTATATGCATAATGTTAGTCATGTAATGAAGCCACTTATCATCGTTAATAAATATTAAAAATAAAATTTTATCATAATTTAAAAATATAATGCCTAAATTGATAAAGTGTAAACACGAAATAGACATAAATTATATATTATAAATTTTTAGTAAAAATTAAAATTATTTTCGAACACCTATACATTATAACCTGTATGTTTAAATATATCAAAAATATATTATGATTTATTTTTGCTAAAAATATTTTGAATTTTAACAATTTAGTTGTAAAAATACTTTTAAAACATTAAAGTTCAAATAAAAATCCAATAAAACGGGTTTAATAATAAACTCGTCATCAAATTTTTTTTATACTATCGATAAAATTAGTTGGTTGTAAAAATATTTTTAAAACGCAAAAATTGAAATAAAAACCCATTAAGATGAGTTTAACAACAAACCCGTTATTCAATTTTCTTTGTACTTTCGATAAAACTATCAAATCAAATATTTTTTTAAAATGGGTGTGTTTCTTTTTTCCAATTTTTCCCACACCAAAAACACAATCCTAAATCTAGACAACAGAACCAAACACTTGGATTAAAAAAACAACTTACCCAACAATGAATGAACCCTCAAAAGTTTATGAATTTTTCCTAACTCATAAGAAAATTTATTTTATACTATCGATAAAAATATATAGTTATAAAAATACTTTTAAAACGTAAAAACTGAAATAAAAACCCAATAAGATGAGTTTAACAACTAAGCTGTTATTAAATTTTATTTATACTCTCGATAAAACTATCAAATCAAATATTTTTTTTAAATGGGTATCTTTCTTTTTCCTCATTTTCCCACACCCAATAACACAATCATAAATCCAGACAACAAAACCAAAACACTTAGATTAAAAAAATAACTTACCTAACAACCTGTTGAATGAATCCTCCAAAGTTTATGAATTTTCTCCAACTTATAAAAAAATTTATTTTATACTATCGATAAAACTATATAGTTGTAAAAAATACTTATAAAATGTAAAAATTGAAATAAAAACCCAATAACATGTGTTTAATAACAAACCCGTCATCAAATTTTATTTATACTCTCGATAAAACTATCAAATCAAATATTTTTTTTTTAAATGGATATCTTTCTTTTTCCCCATTTCTCCACACCAAAAAACACAATCCTAAATTTAGACAACAAAACTAAAACACTTGGACTAAAAAACAACTCGAATGAACTCTCCAAAATTTATGATTTTTTCCCAACTTATAAGAAAATTTATTTTATACTATCGATAAAACTATATAGTTATAAAAAATACTTATAAAACGCAAAAATTGAAATAAAAACCCAATAACATGTGTTTAATAACAAACCCGTCATCAAATTTTCTTTATACTCTCGATAAAACTATCAAATTAAAGATTTTTTTTTTAAATGGGTATCTTTCTTTTTCTCCATTTCCCCACACCCTAAATCTAGACAACAAAACCAAAACACTTGGACTAAAAGACAACTCGAATGAACCCTCCAAAATTTATGAATTTTCTCCAACTTATAATAAAATTTCTTTTATACTATCGATAAAACTATATACTTGTAAAAAATACTTATAAAACGTAAAAATTGAAATAAAAACCCAATAACACGTGTTTAACAACAAACTCGTCATCAAATTTTCTTTATACTCTCGATAAAACTATCAAATCAAAGATTTTTTTTAAATGGGTATCTTTTTTTTCCCTATTTCCCCACACCCTAAATCTAGACAACAAAACCAAAACACTTGGACTACAAGACAACTCGAACGAACCCTCCAAAGTTTATGAATTTCCCCTAACTCGTAAGAAAATTAAGACATGACATGGTGAAGAAACATTAAATGTGGAGAAGGGAGGGGGCAGTTGAAGATAAGTCTTGTCTATAAGACAAATTAGTCCCATAAGGAAGAAGAGAACCATACCATGGCTTTATGGGCCCTCTATGTTTTGTCTTGCCCCATCCAAAATTTTATGGTCCACCGCAATCCTCGCATTGCTGGTCCATCACATGTACACATTCCCTCTCAACAAAGGACATGTGAGCCCACCTCAATTTTGACAACTCGTAGAAATGTTTTACCCGCGGTAAATTATTATTTTATTTTTATAAATTTATAAAAATTTATATAAAAAAATTAAATAAAAACCAACCATTTTTTTTATCTCTATATTTTTTTTAATTAATTTTTCAAATATAAAAATTAAACAATTATTAATTATTTTTAAAGCAAATTACCACGTTAACTTATTATAATCTAGTTCGTAGTATTTTTTTCTTTAAAATATCACTAATTTATTATTTTTAAATTATTTTTTTTAAATATTAAAAAATAATTTAACTAGTTCAATTTTTTTAATAAATAAAAAAATGCTAGAGATTAAATTATAACAATTTTAAATTTTAAATATTAATTTAATAATTTATTTTTATTTTTATTTTTATTTCGAGAATGTAAATGATAATATCAAATATTAAAATACGATGGGCCCGGCCCAATATCCTATGTGGGCCCACGCCTTTATGAGATTCTCCCCACACCATTTTTAAAAAACTCAATATATATAAATCATAAAAATATTTTCCATATTAATTTATAAATTATTTAATATTTAATAAAAATAGTTGTAAAAAATAATGACACTTTTAAAAAAAATAAAAAAAATTATTTGTTTGCTAAAATTAATTTTTGAAATTTTAAATGTAAATTTTTAATAAAAATCAAAATTATTTCCTACAAAACTATATATTTTAGGGCATAATAGTTACTTAGGTTTGAGTATTATGGCATAATAGTGTTTACATAGGTTAGATAATCATTAATTAATAAACTTTTTGAAAGTTAATGAAGTGCTTAATCATGGGTTAATCATCAAAGAGAAAAAGAAGAGTATATATGAAGAATAAAAAATTATATAATAATTATATATATATATGTATAGAGAGATAATATGTACAAAATCATCCACCTAAAACCCTAAAAAAACTGCAGCATTTCTGTAATGCTGTCTTACTTCTCAGTCTCTTTTTGTTTCTCTTGGGTAACTCTCTCTCTCTTTTTCATTTTAATAGGTATAATTCTCCTTTTGAGGATCCCATAATGATATTAAATTATATAATTAATTATGGATTGGAGGTTTTCTTCTTGCCGGAGAATAATCCATTTCAGTAATCCCCATAACATCTGTATAACCCTCCTCTTGGTGTTTGGAGCTGCTTGGCGGTGCCGGAGAATTCATCGGAAAATCTTCTTGACGATCTTCATTAACCTTTACTTCGGTGTTTTCTGATAAGCCCTTCTGTATTGTTGGATTATTACTTGCGTTCTGTACATTAAACACTAAATTGTTAACCTACCTTGACACTAATTAACTTATTAGTTATTAATTAGTTAGTTAATTAATAATCAATTGAAAACTAAACCAACCTTGAGATTTGTTGCAGAAGTAGAGGAGAGTTTTCTATTGTTTCCTGCATCAATGGAGATCATGAAGCATAAGTTTAGATATATGTATATGCATGGAGCACAGACAGAGACCCAATATGTACATATATGTATTTGTGCAAAGAAAGTTTTTATGCATGCTGTAATTGACTTGTTTAATTTTCTACCAAAATTTGTCTATTACAAAAACTCCAAATTAAGCTACCTCCTAAGAACCCTAACTAAACTAGCTAAAGTAGATTAGAACCCTTCATCATCATCTTCTTCGTCGTCTTCTTCTTCTTCTTCTTCTTCTTCTTCTTCTTTTTTTTTTCATTTCATGGGTACAAAAATGGTTAGGTGAGGGAGTAAATTAATCTGCAGGAGTCGGGTAAATTTGAAAAAGGGGTAAAAATGAATGCAGGTAGGTTAAAATTTAAGACTAGTGATGCCTTGGTGTGTGATGTCTAGGTCCATAGTAATCTTCATGAATGGAGGGTAAGTGATGATTATGATGTGTTTTCTTGATCATTTTCATGCTACCTTCACACTTTTCTTCTCTGCATCCAATTCCTTCTATTTTCTTCAATCTACTTTCTTCCTCCTGCATGTAATTAATTGATATTAAGCATATATATATATATATGTATATCAATATAACTTCATAAGTAAATATTAGTTTGAATACCCACATGGATATTAGCAACATGGTGTCGATAAGCTGATTTCAATCCTTCTTCCAGGCGAATTCCTTGAAAGAATTACAGTAAATTAAGAACAATCTCATCAGAATCTAATCACACGCAGACGTATATATGTATACACGTAGATATATACATAAAAACATACAAATATGTACCTTGAATCTGAGAAAAGAGAGAAGAAAAAAGCAGGAGAGAGACCAAGATGAATAGAGAAAGCTTCATTTGGAGAAACAAGTTTAAGATGATGATCAAGAGGTAAGCTTGAGCAAGAGAGAAGATCAAGCAGGTGACAGATATAGAATTCTCAAAGAAGAGAACAATATATTCATACGTGTTTGTGTATGTGTGTGTGTGTGTATATATATGTGGGTACTAAGGATTAAGGCTGAAGGGTCTCTTTTTGAATACAAGTAGTACTCTTTGCAGATCTTCAAATTCAAGATCAAGTTGGAAAAACTTAAAGCATGAAGAGAAGGGGAAGTGCATGTGTCTATATATATATATATGAACTTATACATATGGGACCTACTATATGTATATATATCTATATACTTTTAAGAACTCAAAGAAAATGAACTTCAAAAGGGTGGGATTTTATTTCCACTTAAATTTGTCTTCTTGTCTTTTCTTGATGATCATCATCTTTGTAAAGTGCAAACTACACAAAAACAAATTGTTCAAGAAAAAAAAAAAAAAGACAAACACTTTAGAAAGACCCTTTAGGGACCCTCCATAATTCAATAATAATAGATGGGTTCTGGGTCTTGTCTAGGGATCCTTCCCTAAAATTAAAGACCAAATACCCAATTGGGGGGAGGGAGGGTGTGGGGAGGGGGGACAGAATTGTATGTTTAATACAGTGGGGGTGCCCAAAATGGCCCCTATGAACACTTTGGAAGTATCATAAATGAAACCCAAGAAAAAAAATAAAAAAACAGAAGCTTTTAGTAAATGATATACATATATATATATATGTATATGTATATGTATATATCTTTTCTTAACAATTTTGTTCAATGGTTAAAAGGGTTATGTTAAGTTTTTAACGGGTTTATTTCAATTCAGAAAATTTAGTGTCATAAAATATATATATTTTTTTAAAAACGTAATAAATTTACTATAATTTGATCATTACGTGCCCATTAAAATATTAACGAGTTAAATTCGAAATTCTACTAAATTAAATCAATTACTTATATCTTTATAACAATTATAACACTACAATGTTGGTAATTGAGTAAGTTCATATAAATTTGCTGTGGTTCTTGTACCATCATCATCAATGGTATGTCCCATATGTTTGGGTAGTCAACTATGGAGGTAATTTGGTGGGTGGTAATCATATCATATGGCTATATAATCATAGGGGGTTTTACTTTTTTTTAGTGATTAATTGTATATGAGTGAAAATGGTTGTATTGATTTGCTACTTTTTGATGAATAGAGTTTCTTAATTATGGTAGGGCCAATTCAAAGTAAAAGATGGGACTCTTCATATACAATAAATCCAATGTTTTACTTTAGTCTTGATCGCATATATATATATATATACACAATCAAAATTTCAAAAGGAAAAATTATATATATACATAGATATGTTGATATACATAACATAAAATTTTCTTCACATGCAATGGATAGAGTTCAGAAACATGGAAATGGACTATTTAATGATTTTCTTACCGAAAATACTTTTTTCGCAAAAAAAAATTGACAGAAAACATCTCTTTTAAACTCGATAAAATTTTAATTATATATGAACTTAGTATATACACTCACAATTGAATACGATGCATTAGCTAAATAAATTCTTTAAGTTGAAGGTTGTAAAAAAAAAAAATCTAACGTCATATTTGAATAGAAGAATGAACTATGTATTTACATATAATTGATAAACATAAATATGGTAGTTTACGACCAATATAGCATAATATAAAGAAACACAAGAAATTAATGTGTAATAGTCAAGTATGATGGACAGTTGGGATGGGATGGGAAAAAAATCAACGGTTAGGATGTGAAGTTGGGTGGGGTATAAAAGGGCTCGGGCAAAGAGAATATATAGGGGAAGGAAAAAAAAGGGAAAGAGAAAAAACATAGAGTGAAGGAGAGAGAGGGAGAGGTGATTGCAAGAGGTGAGTGCGGAAGGCGATTGATCAGAAGTTCTGAAAGAGGTGAGGTAACGGTAGATTCAATGAGACATAAGAGTATGGAAACAAGAGATAAAAAGAATTTGGAGTTTAAAAACTAATTGGTGGCAATATATGTTGAATTTTGTATTGCAGGTTAACTGATGATTGCATATTTTGGGAATATGGACTAAAAAAGCGCTTTGAGGTGGAATTGTACTTAGAAGTAATAAACGGGGAAGGAGGTTGTAACGACCCTGGAAATTTAGAATGAAATATGTGTATTAAAAATGTCAAATGCGGAAGCGTAATAAAAATTTTGTTTATCATTTTTATTATTTATATTTTCATTGAATTAAATTAAACTAAGTTAAATAAAAAATCAAATAAAAAAAAGAATAAAATAAAATAAATAAAATTTTTATTTTAATTATTTGGGTGTTACAGAGGTGATACGTTCGTGAGCTGTAGGAAAGAGGGAGGAGTCTTAGCAGGCCAATAGTTAGGGATTTTTGGGAGTACATTAGGAGGATTAAAGGAGGTGAGAGGTGAAGTCGGCTAGGCTGTACGGGGAGAGAGGACTGCTAGAAATGAGCTGAGTAAACCGAGGGGTGAGGGAGACAAACAACGACGAGGTCATCTGTTGGCCAACACTTATTAGTTTAGACATGTGTGTTTGGGAGGCCTTTGGCCTATACTTAGGGATGTTGGGGTGCTGATGTGTTGAGAATGCGAGTCTGTGTGTGTGTGTGTTCGTGGCCACTCAGTGGTCGGGTGCTTGGGCATTTACAGTTAGTTGCGCAAGGTATCGATAGGATATAGAGGCACGTCTTGTGTATGTGGCCACTCAGTGGTCGGGATGTGGTTGGGGTGAAGCAGGTGCTAGGGTGTGGAGGTGCTAGTAGAGAGATTGTGCGAGTGTGGCCCTCAAGGGTCGACGGATGTGCGAGTGTTGCCCTCAAGGGTCGACAGCTGTGTGAGTGTGGCCCCTTAAGGGGTCGACAGCTGTGAATGTGGGATTTAAGGGGTCGATATGTGTGGGAGTGTCTACTGTTATGGTGAGACAGTGGATGCGGCACATGTGTGCGTTGATTGCCTTCAAGGGTCGTTATTAACACCAAGAGATGCATTATAAATTGAGTGGTGTGAATATGGAAACAAGAGAGATACGGTTGAGTCTTATCATGTGAGTGATAGTATTTGTGGGGGGGTTATTAGTTGTTTTGGGTTGTGATGATATTTAGCGTGGCAGTATTGTTGAATGTATTGGGTGGATTTGTATTATTTATTTAGGAATCAGTAGGGCTGTAGTGGAGTATTAGGTTAGAATATGAGGGGTGTTGAGCTGTGCTAGCCAGTCGCAGGGAGATAAAGTTAGAGATAATATATAGTAAATAAAAATGAGTACGAGTGTGGGAGAAGCATTGTTGGAGAGGAAGTGTAGTTAGTAGAAAGGAAAATAGATGGAGTCTTAGAATAAAATAGTAGGAAGGGAGTCTGACTAATCGTCATCCTTTAGGTTTAAATTCTAATTCTTATTGGGTTATGTATACTCATTACCTTTTTTTTCAGATGCAGCGCAAGAGGAGTCGGAACCAGAATGTATAGCCACGGGACTCCTTGCTTAAGAGAGATAGAATAGTAGTAGCGATAGCTGATTTTCATGTGTTCTCTTATATTTGTTAGACTGATTTTTGGAATAAATATTGTATATCTCGTAAAGAATTATGGTTACCTAATGACACGAGTTTTTACAGTATTGGTTGAATTTTACTAATTACGATGTGTTGATATAGAATAGTAGAATATATCATTCTCATTTCGTAGGACAGGAAAGTGGTTTATCACATAATGTGACGGTGACAAGCAACGTTGAAACTCACCATTTGATGACCTTGTTTGATATGTAACAACACGACAGGTCTCGACACTAATTACCCAAATAGTGGGCATTTCACATGGACGTCCACATCATGAAGTCTACTATATAATGATGTGGCAATTATGTAGACACGTGGACTCTGTCAATTTAATCACAGTGTTTGTCTATTTGTCCGTTAAATATATTTAAGTCAACTCTATTAAAAACTATTAAATTAATATAATTTTTATATTAAACTACTTATCGACAATCAAACATTGTCTTCCTCAATTTAGTTATTTTTTTCTCTCCGCTTGAGTAAATATTATGAACAAGCATTTCGATCCAATATTTAGTACATGACTTCATTTACAATATAACATAATTAATAAAATATTATAATTTACTTTTATCATAAGAATGTATTGCTCAATAATTGGTTCCACATATTATACATATATATATATATATTACAATTGTTAGTTCCTAAACGTGCCCAATTCAAATAACTTAGAATTGATTATAATGGAAAAACATTTTTTTTAGAATTTGCTAGTTTAATATGATCTTAGCTTGTCATTAGGACTGCCTAAAGAAGAATTTAAGTTGAATTTATCATTCAATCAAAAATATATATAAATTTAAATAAAAATATTTAATCATAATAAACTAAAGAAAGCAAAAGTAATTTTTTTAAATATATATATATATAATAATTAAGAGAATATATATATATATATACACATTAATATTATATAATAAATTTTATATGGTTAATAGAATTTCATAATAAATCCAAAGAGCATTAATGGAGAAAAATCGGCCGACAAGGGAACACAACATTACGTTTTGAGAGCTGGTTTGTTGAAGAAATCTGATTAAATTAATTCCCCTCTCACTCTTTTTTCCATCTGGAAACATGTTTTGTGACACCTTGTCTCGGTTTAAATTACACAGGCATTTATTTAATTTCAACTGCTGCCTTTTTCTTTTCTTTTTTAATTTTAAAAAACTATAGTTTATAAATCTATATATTTATTATAAATAATAAAATTATGAGAAGGATAGACCTATACGTATATATAATATATTAGTGTAAGTATTAGAGGTGGACTGCCGATTTAAATTTTAAAGTTAAAATTAATGTGGTTTTCTTAGTTGATTAGTTGAAGAACACATTAAATTTAATTAATTAATTAGCAAGACCAGTTTCAAACTTCTCCTAAATTCTGTCTGATGTATAGTTTTTTTTTTTTTTTTGATCAGTGGGTTGACCCACTTCATTTATTATCTTATATATCAATGGGCATTGCTTTTAAAATATGTAGATATAGCCAGTTAGCTATATCTACATACTTATATAAGCATAATACACACACACACACTTGTGTATATAGTTTTCTTATATTGTTTATACAATAATCTAAATACTGCATGTAATTAAATTTAATGAGCAATTTTTTCTCTACCCGAATCATGCTTATACAAATATTTTCTTTATAATAAAATGATATGTATGTAGGAAAAATAATATGATAACTAACGATAAGCCAATAAATCAACTAATAAAATACAAAGAAGAATGATTGTTCTTTTAAAAGAAACATTATCACTGCATGATTGATCAGGCAGATGCAAAATGCATAATCATTTGGTTGGTGGGTATGAATCATCGAGACAGAATTATTTTACCTGGGCCCTAATCGATACAGGCATATACATATATATATATATATATATATATATAGAGACACAGACACACGCATACTTATATGTATATATGTGCATTTCGATGTGAAATGTTGATTTCCTATTGGATTAATTGTGATATCCAAGTGGATCATTAGTTTATATGATAACAATAATGCAAAGTATTTAATCAAATATCTACTCCCCTTAAAAAATCCTGCCATGGTAGTCCCAATCAAAGGAATGTAAGCAGGCAAATAATATTTTTGTGACTCAGCTAAAATTTAATTTAACTTAATTAATATAATCTCTTTTTGTTTAAAAACATAATCCACTCGTTAAAACTTAATTTAATTTGATCAGTTTAGTCCGACCAATAAATTAGAATTTGATCAGTTTAGTCCGACCAATAAATTAGTGAAGTAAATCGTAAATTTACTTAATTAAATATTATAAACCGATCATTACTAGTGCACAATACATACACAAAATAGGATTGTGAAATGGGAGTAGGAACCCATCACCTTCGCCATTCCAAAGGAAAGAAAGTGTATCGGCAGGCGCAGGCGTCTTTTGACAATTGTCTTCGACACAAATTCAACTACGGTTGCCTCAAATCCATGGAACATTAATTATTAACCCATATCTTCTTAACCATATTATAATTATATTCCCCTATATATACATACATGTATATATAGATACACACACATACACAAAAACAGTAAGTCAAAATTCTTGTTAATTCTCCTTAGGTGAAATACATACATGCGTCTCCATGCCTACCTCATACACAAATTACATATGTTCCATACTCTTATAGTATATATACACACACACACACGTATATCTCTGTTCTGTTACTGCTACAAATGGGCGTGACCGCCCTACTCCCAGCTGGCCCCATGCATACGAACTCATGTATTTATATATAATATGATAGTGTACAAGTTAGGGGTTGCCGTCAGAACGAGAGACCAGAGGCAAAAGTTCATGATTACTCCACCTCACAGAGAACTATGCATGCATGTGAACAGCGCCCCCTTCTTCCTACACCTTCATCTACTCCTCTGTGTGTGAATGTGTGTGTATATATATATATATTCTTTTGGGGCCAGCACCAATTATGAATGATCGATCAACTGGGAATTTGCTCAATTATATATAGTGATCATACGCAAAAATAATATGATAATATAATGGTTAAGACATAAACTCCAAGGTAATACTGTTAGTGAATATATATAATATGTATATACACACACACACAAACGTAGAGGTGTTAAAAAGGGCCAAACTGGGCCGAAAACATATAATTTGGGTCGTATGCCCTAGTTCTATAGGTGAGCAGTCAGGTTGGTCTTAGGTCCAATATGTTCGGCCCATTGGGGCAGAATTGAGCTAGACTCACTGAGTTGTGTCGAGCCTCCCAACAACAACGTTTGTGGTCGCAATTCCCAGTACCTGACAATAACCCGCCAAAACCCCAATCAATCCTAACTAACTTGGCCTCCATTTGCTTCCCCCCATTTTGCATACAAAATTATGTGTCTGTGTGTATATATATATGTGTGTAGTATATAGCAATACTGAAATCTTGATCACAGTTTCAGAGACTAGTTTAAATTGCCCAATAAAAAATATATGATCGAGTAACTTATGGATGTTAAATATTAATTTAATTTGTAATGACTTGCGAAGGTTGGAATTAATCAAGTGAAGGTATCATGTTGATCAATGAGATCAAACATTTCATCTGCAATTCCAAAACCAAGCATCCTAGCCATGTCACTCGCCTTTAACCTAGCTGCCTTCTTTGGAATCTCATGCTTCTTCAACCAACAGTAGACTACAAAAACCTTCTTCATTATAAACAACTCCAGTGCCTCTGGATTAAACACTACCCCCATTCTCATGCTCATCTGGTGCGGCACTAACATGGCCGCATATCGAGCAAGCTCTCCTGCCCGCCAATCCAGCAACACAGGCAGCCATGGATATACCGCATCAAGTCTCACAAACCACAGCCTTATATCAGGCAATTCGGATAGTTCTCTTTGGTCATGCTCGTCTTCTCTCCTATAAGTTATCGTGAATCCAATTGTTCGTTCCAGAAACTCCTTTGGCTCCACTATATTATTAATTAATTAGGTTTTTTGAGGAACCGGCGCCCTTTTGCTTAATTACATAACAATAATCGCAGAGTACTTGAGTACTTACCAGATGAAGGCGAGGTGATCCCAGTAGCTGTGTGGAATGGAGTTAAATCCAGCCGGCGAATTGCCTCCTTGTCCAGAAACACCTCGAATCGACCTTCTCTCGGCGGCATTGGAGGCGAAACTTTTGGTGAATCTGTAAGTTCATCTCACATCCATTATCAAATCCCTAAAAATAATCCGAACCTTGATTTCAAACCACTCATTGGATTATACGCCTTTCTTCACAATTATCAGACAACCGCCACATGTTCTGATGTTTATGAAAGAAATAATAAGAAGAGAATGAATCAGATGAAACAGAGGAGTTACCGTCGTCATCGTCGAATAGAGAGAGGTCGAAATTCCCAGAAGGATTGAAAGCAACGGAAACTGAAACCTGTGCTCGTTGATGCCTCGCGTGAGAAGAACACTTTGAATCGGGGACAGGTTTGCAGGGAATCGTGCACGGAGATGAAGAGGATTCGATTGTTTGTTTCGGTAACGAAGATAGAGGAAGCAGAGGCTTAATGGAAGTAGCCATAAGCTTTCTTCTCCAAATGTTTTCAGTTTCTTCTATCTGTTTTTCGCTTCTGTGGCCTTGTGTTTCCAAATGCACATATCCGTTTCCGGGTTTCTATATGGTACATCGCGTCTATTGTAAAAAAGTTGCATTGAACTCAACCCGTCCAATTGAAAAGCTAAATTTTGAATTTTTTTTTTAATTTTTTTTGGGGTACTGTTGCAAATTTATAAATTATTTAATCTGAATACAACGTAATTATTTTATTATATTAATATAAATATATTTATATTCATATTAATATAATTTTTTTTTTTCGAGAGAAACCAAGTCATGTTCAAAATATGGGCTCGAGCCTTGAATAGGAACAACGACGAACAAAGAGCAAAGCTAAGTCGGCCCATAAGAGGTAACCCATTGGCCTATATGCATGTGATTTTTCTATTTTACCATCGACAAATATAATCTTGTATTTTTTTTAAAGTCTTATGACTGAATTAGATTATTTATATAATAGTTCATTAATATTTGGAATGATTTGATACGTGCAAAATTAATTAATATTTAAATTTAATTATATTTGAATGATGGTCTATTAATATTTAATAGTGACAATTATTTTTATTTAGAATGACAGTATGATATGATTATATATTTGAACAAATTATATTATTTTATTAATATTTTATTATATATAATAATAAATAAATAATTAAAATAATAAATATATAGATATATAAATATATCTAATTCAATATATACATATATAATATATATAATTAAATTATTACATATATAGAAATGTTTGCATGAAGAAAAATGTCCACGAAGAGAGAGAGAGAGAGAGAATGTGATTGAAAAAAAATAATTAAAAAATTGTAAATCGAAGTGAAAGCAAGAGTAATAATCGAACCATTATAAGAATAACGAATCGGTAGTTTGAAAAAATAAAAATAAAACCATAATATTGAGAATCATAATTTAACCAGTAAAAAAATTGTACTATGTGTTTAAAAACGTAAACAATAAAAAAAAAAAATCGTAAAAAAATTATATCATCTACACTGAATTATTATTCAAACAGACTCTTAACGAAATGATTAGTGTTCAAAGTGGCAAAAAGAGAAAGAACAGGAGAGAAGAGGCCGAGGGCTCGACAGAACCGAGTCGCCCAACCCTACTTGTTGCTCGGGATATTGCCCTAAAACAAGGTACGTGTTAGCGGAGGAAAACGCCTAATTGCAGAGACGCAAGCCTCGTAGGCTTGTGTTGACATTCATATCCATCGTTCAAACTCACGCATAAATCGCCCAACCAAATTACCAGCACACGCAAGACTAATGCACAACAACTCTACACGTAATGCATTGAGGAACCGTCTCCCTCTCGTTGACTATTTTCGTCACAATTCATAATATATATATATATAATAATTCATTAATAAAAAAATTAAGTATTTTTAAAAATATAAATAAAATGAAATTATTTTGTAATTTTATACTTAATTCAATAAAAAAAAACGTGTAAATTGTATTATAGTAGTAAAAAAATTAATCTCATATAAAAATTTGTGTAATTAAAAATGAAATGCATCGTATTTTATTATTTTAATAATTTATTATTATTATTTGTGATTTATTAGCGAATGTTATATTATTTATAAATTTAAATATTTTTAAATTTATCCTAAATGTTTTAATAATAAATTATTATTATAATAATAAAATGTGGTCTGCCCGAGTTGGCAAAGGCAATCGCCCATTTTCGCAGTAAATTGAATTTTGCGTTATTTCCACCAAAAGGGCAGTTTATAAGGACTCGTCATCACATCTGGAGGGAAACCAGACGAGAGCGGAGAAGAAGCAGCGGCAAAAAAAATACTGAGACCGAGAGAGGGTTTGTACCGGTCTGTAATGGCGATAGCTTTCTCTTCTCCTCTCTTTCTCCGCACATCTTTATTCCCGAACTCCCCATGCCTTTCTGACAATTCCTTATTTCGTCCTCGCCTCCGGTTTTCTCCACTCAGGTCCCGCTCCGCTATTCGTGCCAGTTCAGCTGTTGCTCTGGAATCAGTACGTCTATCTGATTAGTCTCTTTTTATTTTTCTTCTTCGACCTTCGCAGATTAGGAATTAGCGGTTTATGTTTATACACTTCAAAGGTACTGCAGTTTGTGTTTTAGAAGTTGTTAAATGATGATGATGATTGGTTGCGGGGAAAATAAAGGTAAACAGACAAATTTTCGGCGTTCTACTTTGCTGCGTCGTTATTGAAAATAGAACTGACTGCTGCTTCTCATTTTCTGGTGAAGTGGCGGTCAGTTTGGTTGATGATAAAATCAATAAAACTGTGCAAGGGAGACTGTTTTATTTTGCGATAGAAAAAGAAAATGTCAATCTTAGGATTTTCTAATAGTTGGGACCTGTCAGCTAACTGATATTCGGGAGGTGTTTGTATGTTTGGAAAAATCTTTTATCCCAAGAAGAAAAATTTTAGGAGGGTACAGTTAACGCTAGGAACTGTTTGTTTGACTCACTTTCTGTCATTGACTTAATCGTCATTATACTCTCAATACACATGAGCATACCATAACTTTCATATTTGAATCAATTTTCGCTTTTACATATAGCTTAAGATTTCTAATTCTTATTTCGAATGTAAGATTTAGAAATCTATTTTCAAGGAATTGTTGGAACTGATTCAATTAGGGAAAATATGATCTTACTCTCCATATAAAGGATATTACAGTAATAAAGTAAAAGGATGTGATAGAAATTGACATTAGAATTGGTCAAACATGCAATAAAGAGAAAAACCTATGCTGGTTTATGTTTGACTCCAACTTAAACCTAACTTCTTTCAACACAGTATGTCTTAGCTATTGGCAAGTTTGGTAACAATGTTATATCAAGGTCCATTTGCTTTTTTGCTTGAATTTAGATTAACTTTTGGTTTCCAGAAAACACTTGTTCATTGCTTAATCTAGTAATTAACAGTGACATCATCTTCCTTTTAAAGGAATGCATTTGATTATACTGTTAATCATTTGACTCTATAACATGTTTTTCTATTTCCAGGACTTAGGCTCTCAACAGAATCAACGTTTGGAGGCTGACTTGTTTGCATGCCCAGTTTGTTATGGACCATTGATAAGGAAGGGCCCTCCTGGCGTTAAATTGTAAGTTGGAATACATAATGATATATGCAGGTATATATGTTTCTTTTTGTTTTTTTATTCTTTTAATGAAATTCTCTATCTAGTTGTGGTTTCATTTAGCAATTGTAAAATCTGCAGGCAAGCCATTTACAGATCTGGATTCAAGTGTGAAAAATGCAACAAGACATATTCCAGCAAAGATGTCTATTTGGATCTCACTGTTACTGCTGGACTGCAGAACTACAATGAAGTAAAACCAACTATGACAGAGTTGTTCAGGTATAAAATAGTTTGTTGATTGTGACCGTATGTTCATGCATTTCAGCATTTATTGTTATTGGTTTTTGTTTCTTGAAGTATAAGTTGCACGACTACTGGATACCAACTGTGAAGTGTGAACTTTTATCTGTGAAAGTAGCAAACAGCTGCATGTACATGCACTTAGTTAATACTTTCCTCTCAATATAGTCTTCATTTTCTCCGCTAGCTGGAAAGATTATAAATGAATTTGGATAGTCTTTTTTTTGCTTTCCGAATATTGGATTTGACATGTGATGGATTAAGCTAGAAATCATGCTTTTGATATGCTTGATTTAGGAAATGCTGTTGCCTCAACTTTTTTGCTTTCACCTTCTTTTAGGAGTCCACTTGTATCTTTTCTGTATGAAAGGGGTTGGCGTCAAAATTTTATTCTAAGTGGCTTCCCAGGTCCTGATGAAGAGGTATGTCTTATTCAGCTTTGTTAATGATTCTTTATAGATGAGAGTCTCATTAATATTTAGCCCAATGATAAAGGTGAAATTTTAACGAAGGTAATTCTACTATGATTAATTCCCATAGGATACTTTGTTATGATATATAAGAGATCGGAGGGCATTAAGAGGGCCTATCCTGCACAATGTTTTAAAGCTGATAACAAGCTCATTCAGTTGACAAGTTGTGAATTAATATGTCAATTGTGCTGATATTTGTTGTATGATTGACATGCTTTGTTAATGATTCTTTATAGATGAGAGTCTCATTAATATTTAGCCCAATCATATTGGTGAAATTTTAAAGAAGGTAATTCTACTATAATTAATTCCCATAGGATACTTTGTTATGATATATAAGAGATCGGAGGGCATTAAGAGGGCCTATTCTGCACAATGTTTTAAAGCTGATAACAAGCTGATTCAGTTGACAAGTTGTGAATTAATATGTCAATTGTGCTGATATTTTGTTGTATGATTGACATGTTTTATATTGAATGCAGTTCAAAATGGCTCAGGAATACTTCAAACCAGTACAAGGGGGCCTTCTGGTGGATGTTAGCTGTGGAAGTGGTTTGTTTTCTCGAAAATTTGCGCAATCCAGGACATATTCTGGAGTTATTGCTCTTGATTTCTCAGAAAACATGCTTCGTCAATGTTATGATTTTATCAAACAGGATGATACTCTTTTGGATGCGTAAGTTTGGCTGCCTCTTGTATATTTCAATGGTGAAATGTGCTAGACATTTATTTCTTGTTTTATCTGTAGTTGCATTTTCTGTCTAAGACAAAAAAAGAAAACTGATTCACTTTTCATACAAGAATGTTGCAGCAATCTTGCTCTAGTTAGAGCAGATGTTTCTAGGCTTCCATTCTCGTCTGCATCTGTTGATGCTGTTCATGCTGGTGCGGCTTTACATTGCTGGCCATCACCTTCTAATGCTGTAAGTATTGTATCATTATATCAATGATCTTGTAATGCCCAAAGCCAAAGTTGGGCACATTATATTGCAACCCATTTATGAAAAAATTGATGAACATGCAAGAACTAACAAAAACCTAAAACCAAGCAAAGAAAAATGCGTCAACTATTAAATAGTAAATCCTTTTAAAATGCAATTATATCTCAAAAATCAGAGAATTAAACTCCTTGAATCAATAAGATCTACAAATCTAAATCAAAATAAATTTAATAGGTTTAAAATATTTAATTTAAATTCTTTAGCTACTCACACTTCTCAAATCCGCAATATGTAATTTATTCTTCAAAATTTGTAAGAAAATGAAAATAAGGTGAACTTATAACTCAGTGAATAATAATAAATCCAAACTCTAACTTAGAAATAATCAAGTTTCTTAAGATTTAATACAAAATTATTTTAATCTATTACCATCAAAATTCACAACTCTTTCCATGCAACTAAGAAAACCTCAATATATAATATATAAATTAAGTATACATCTCTACCAATTTTGAACCATATTATTAACACAAGTTATCTATTTTAATATTCTAAAATTAGATAAAAACTGAAGTTCAAAATTTCATATTTGCATAACACAACCAAGGGTTCAATTCTCCCAGCACAAACTAAATTGAGAAACGATATCTAGATACCTATAGGTTTAGGTTAAATATATAGAGCTAGAATTTAACAGACAAAATTCACATTCAAGTTATGTAGCCAGAAAATTTGAGAAACAGTCAAAAATTGCTGCTAGAAAAATAATCTTTTATTTTCCTCTTTCTTTTTAAGTTGGTCATCATATTTAAATTCTATAATATTGAGTTCTAAATTAATTTGAGGACTTATCTTTATATATAGAACATCTAAGAAACCATAACATTTCTATTTTTTGTAAAATAATCCCTTAACTTAATAAATGGAAATTGGTGTGTCTAGGACCGGATATTACAGATCTTCTGTGAGTTCTTTTAGCAGTTTGGTTTGCAGAGTTGAAAATTGAAGTGCAACTGGTCCACAGGGACATTGCCTAAACCCAATCTTCCGTTCATAAACTTTGCTTCATAATTTTAAGTTGTATTTGATTTCCTAAATTCATGTGTTTATTAATGAAAGTACCTAAGAGGTGTGTGTTTGTGAAATAATCAAGCATAGCAAAAAGAGTTTTGTATAAAGTACTAAAAGCAATATTTTAAGAATTTCAAGCTCCATCTTCATTTTTGCAGTCATTTTCTTTGTCGTTAATTAACTTATATGTTTTGTGAATGAAGTAACTTACATATCAAATAACGAAGAACTAGATATTGAATAGGAATAGAATAGTTTCATACAAAATGTAGAGTTATAGTAAAGGACAATATCATTGGCAATGGCTAGGAGATTTGTTTCCACTAG